AACCATTCAACGACGCTAAGAAAGAATCTGTCATCCTGCAGCCACATGTTTTCAAATTTCCACGGACGACGAATGATATCATTACCGCCCCAAGAAACCAGCAGAGGGTTATGATCAGATTCAATCCTTTCTAAGGCAGTGAGAGTGCAATCGTGAAAAAGAGAATCAAACCCTGGCGAAATAAAGACCCTATCAATACGAGACAACGACGCATTGTTCCAACCATTGCTCCAAGTAAATCTGCTGCCTCCCAAAGGCAAGTCAAGAATGGCGAGATCATCAATAGTCTCATTGAATTCATCCATGAGATCAGAACTCCTTCTAGCCCCACTGTAGTCGTCGTGACTTCTGATTAGATTGAAATCCCCCGCCACACAATAAGGAAGTGAAAGTTGGGAGCAAAAATTCTTCATTTCAGAGAGAAAGTAAAGTTTCTCACTTCTGTCTTGAGGCCCATATACGATTACGAGAAACCAAATCTTGGCGGAAACGACTTCTTCAAACTGAGCAGAAAGAAAGTGAGTGCCAGCATACTGTGAAATTACCTTGAGTAGAGCATTATCCCAGTATACAAGGATGCCACCAGACCTCCCGATAGCGTCCTTAGCGATCCAGCCCATATCCCTCACACCACTGACGCTGGAAACCAGATTCAGGTTACAAGAACTCCATTTTGTTTCAATCAGAGCAACTACCTTCGCCTTGCTTCTACCGATGATTCTTTTAATTCTACTACGCTTTTCAGAATCACCCAACCCCTTAACGTTCCACACTAAGATAGACATACCCATTAGACTTCTGGGGCAGTGTTGGCCAACCCTTTAGAAATGATTCTCCTTCGCGACCCTTTTGGTTGAGAGGCTACTGTTCCCAGACGGTGCATTTCCATTTCGAGTTTTGAACGAGGAGTGCGGATCTTCCTGCCATGGGTGGAATGAGCAACCTCTGTAATCAAAGTCTCGACACGCTCATCTCCACCTTCTGGGACCATATTGAAAATCTTGGCTAGCTCCACGCTTCTCTGGGCGAGACTGTTTATATCAAAGGGAAAAGAGCTATTATCCCAATTCCTGACTGGAGGGTTTAAAGTGCAGGTTGGCGAAGGCAGATCGGCTGAGATGGAAAGGGAAAGAGGGGAATGGGGTTGAGAACCAGCGGGTGAGGTTTGCGGTGAAAGGGAATCCAGGGGGTTGCAGGGAACAAATTATAGGCAAGGAGTGAAAGAAGTCGGTGAAGGGGGAGAGGGTGGGCTGGGTATCAAGTCCTGGCTTGGAAGGGACGAATACTGAGGAATGGGAGTTAAGGGTGGTTCAAAGGGGGGATGCAGTTCGGGGAGGAACGGAAGGGCGATGAGGGATAGACGATCGTGGTGCCGGTTAGGATAGAATGAAGGTTGGGGGGAAAGGGAAGGGTACAGCGGGAGAGGTTCAAGTAGAGGAGGTTAGATATCAAGCCCAAATCCAGGCTGGCTAATAAAGAAGGAAGAAGTACTGAGGGGTTGACGAGAGCATTCAGAAAGCAAGGAGGAGGCAAATTTTGCAGCCCAAGAAAGCCCCGAGCCCATTGAGGTAACCCAATATAGACTTCACCAGCTCCAGCGGACCCATTGATGGTAATAGGCCCAATATCCTGACTGACTAGTCCAGCTCTAGACAGTGGATCTCTGTTCCAAATTGGTCCTTCTTTCCTAACCCAGACCTTGAGGTATTGTTTACGAGTTGGATGCGTAGACCGCTGCATGGAGCCAGAGACGGAAGACGAAGGGTCGCCAGTGCAATTCGGCTCAGGGATCGAAGAAGTGCAGACAGAAGGATTGGGAATGGGATTGGGATAGACAAGACGACCTTTCCCCTTCCATTTAGCAAGTCGGTGATTGAGGTGGCTATCCAACGCAGCATTGATCGGCGCCGGAACAACAACCTTCACCGGAAAAATTTTATCGTTGTAGCAGACTGGAATTTCCACCGGGATTTCTTTAACCACCTGGATTTTGATCTTGACGAATGACGAGCAATGGTTTCTATTAGCCGCCGTCTAGTCTTCTCGATTTTTCCATGCGCGATTTTCCCGCTCAACTTTTCCTAAAAACACATAATCTTATTATAAAATAACACTAGGCCAAATGACTAAAATTGATAAACTCATAAGGACTATACTAGTTCCGGATCCAGAGGAGAGCTGGGCCGTGGCCCGGGGAGGCCACCCCCTGGATCCGCCACTGGGGTTGATGATGGACGTTGGCCATTGTTGGATAGGTTGTAAAGTTCGATTTTTTAGCGGTTCGATGTACGAGGTACATCCAACTATGGTGCTCACAGTCACAACCTTTTTGTGAGAACAAGAAGGTGGACAGCGAAAGCCACGCACGTACGCCTTCAATTCCAAATCCTTGAGCTTGAAAGCATTGCACAAGCATGGCCTTGCCACAAATCCACAATCCCTCTGCAGCTCACCTAGAGGCTAGAACAGGGCAGCATTGTGATCAGGACCAGACAATTACTGTTGGGTCGTCCATATCGGCGTGACGAACTTCGCTTAGGAGCAGCCCATACATACTATATAGTTGTGGACCAGTTGCACCAGCCCATCAACGCATCCAGCATGACCCTCCATTTCCAGTTGTACACCGTATGTTAAAATATCATATCAAATTTATCACTATTTGGTATTAGAGAATTTATACAAATGCAATTGTAGTTATGCTTTTTATTGGCACCTCAATTTTTTTTTAATCCAACTCATATTACTTTGATTGTAGAACATCAATACAATTAACTTGCAATTGATTTTTTTTAATTTAATTATAATAAAAAAATGATGTTGCCTGCATTCCATAATTGCATTAGATGCAAGCTTGCAAAGATGCAATGTCATCTACATCAATGCAACTGCAAATGAATGTGATGTCATAATGCAATTCAAAATGAAATTTCTAGTTGTCCTATGCTGATTGAGGGTAGTTGCTGAACCCGTGTTTGAGCAATGGTTTCTATTAGCCATCGTCTAGTCTTCTCGATTTTTCCATGCGCGATTTTCCCGCTCAACTGAAGAGCTCGCCGTCTTTCCAACAACAAACTCCGACGTTAGATGAACTAGGGGTGTTCAAATGGTTACCATGGTTATAACCAATCCAAATAATGCTAAATTCCATTAACCGTGGAATACAATATCATAACCAAACCGTCTAAACTAATACAATTGCGTATCAGATCTGATTGTCAGAGGTTACGATTGCGTTGAAACAGGATTCGAGCCTTTGGCCCTAGCAATGTCGGGCAACTCTTGCCCGGGTTGTCTCCATTCTTTGTGTTTCTCCGTGGATCTTGTTCGAGTTTGTTCCCCGTCGATTCAATGTTTTGGCTGATTGGATTGCGAGGAACTCTCGTCTTGTCTCTTCTTCCTGAATGGACTGTCATTGCCGATCTTATCGCTCCATTATTGTAATTGTATTGCTTCACACTTGTGTTGGTTTGGAATGAAATGATGATGTAAAAAAAAAAAAGTTGGAGCAAGCAGGACAAGAACATGGAAGACAAAGAAGGAAAAGGAAAGATAAGACCGAGCAAGAATGGTCAAGCGGGGCATATTATTATTGGGCAGTGCACACCAAACGTGCATAAATATAACATGGGATGGATACACAAGAAAGAGTAGACGGAAAGGGAAATTAAATGTTGGACCAAATAACATGAAATATTTTGGGGTAAATACAATTTAATATCCAAACCTTTTATTTTAAATAATATAATAGCCAAACCTTTTTGAAAACAATCTAATATCCAAATCGTCAACTTTCTATCTGTTTGACCGTTAGTTGACACTTCAATAAAGTTCGAAGTACGACACTACATCAATATCCATCGATATCTTCTCTGAAAAACCACCAACATATCGTAGTTCCAAACCCGAGAAGTCCACGACTCCACCATGATGGTATAGAATATCTAAATATTCAGTCATCTGCAATGCCAAAACAAGAAACAAAGTTGTATTGTGACAATTTCCTCTAAACAAAGCTTTTTTGAAGTGTCAACTAACGGTCAAACGAACGGAAAGTTGACGATTTTGATATTAGATTGTTTTCGAAAAGGTTTAGCTATTATATTGTTTAAAATGAAAGGTTTGGATATTATGTACCCAATATTTTGTATAACAATGATATCGTTTTCTTTCTATAAGTACTATAGTCCAAAAGGATTTCTTACATAGCCAAAATGTTCCATCGTTTAGACGGAGTAGTTAATTTATCGAGTGTCATAGTGATGTTACAGTCGTTGGCGCATGCTCTTTAATTTCTTATACTTCTAAATGATTATATGGATGAGAGATCTTCTGAGGGCATGAAGAGAACCGCCATCATCCGCAAGATCATTGTGCGGGACCAAAACCATAGAAGACGAGACGACGAGGCAGCATAGAAGCTAATAGTTAGCAAGATACCCTTATGACAGATTTTATGAGGGTATATTGCAAGTTTGGTCACTTGAGTTACTAAACAGTTACACGTTTGCCACTAAAATTAGTTTATTCCATTCATGTTCACTAAAATTACTTCAATAGTTTAAATTTTGTCACTCTGATAGTTGACCGTTAAATAAGTGATATGGCAATTAAAAATTTATAAACAAATAATTTTTTTTTATGATTTCCACCTCATAAAAATTATTTAAAAATAAATAAAATATAAATATTATAATTATAATTATAATTTCACATAAATGAAGAATTATCAAGGTGATTTAATCGACATAGTCCGAGTTGGAGCCGGCACCACAACGACATAAATATTACAAATATTTCTACACGGAAGTTTGACTCGTCAATCGAGGATAACCCAGTAGCCACATAAATATTTGCAAAATTTTCCCCAATTTGAAAATTAGTACAGATATATTAGTTAGGAGAGGCATGCATGCACGCTCAACATTAGGACAGAGAAGCTACAAGAGAATGAAAAACGAAGAAGGAAAATGGAAAGATAAGACCGAGCAAGAGTGGTCAACCGGGGCATATCATTATTGAGCAGTGCACACCAACGTGCATATATATAATAACATGAGATGGATAACAAAGAAAAGAGTAGACGGAAAGGCAAATGAAAAATCAAGCGTCGTCGTGCGTAGTAGATGATGGATTTTCATTAATTATGGGCGGGGGACCTAGATGTAAGTGTCTAAATCCTTGAATCCCTGCTCTATAGCATTCCAAAAAACGTCCAAATTGAATCCGCCTGATGCAGTAGCTGAAATCCATGAGTATGTCAAAGTCCAGGTGATTGTGGAACCTCGAGAGTTGGGGCCATCGTCGGCGTTATTGGGATCCACCTTTACAACCAGTGAGGCAGAACGAAAGTGCCTGCCCACGAAGTTCCTATCATTGTTAAAGGTGGATTCGACGGTTCGAGTGGCATGGTCGAGCCTGGTAATCTGCTCGGTGGCCTGGCTGACCATACCTGCTGTGGCTGCAACATACATACGTAGTCATGCAATAGAATTATTACATATTAATTACCAGTAAAAAGCTATATATTAATTAATAAGGTGAGTAATATTAACATATGATATTGCTTGCTCGGCTAGCTACGTACCGGTTCCAAAAGTGATCTCCCGAACCGAACCGGCAGTAACACCGTCTCGGCTGGTCACTCGGATGCCTGCAATCAGGTTAGGCATGGCGGCCGGGTACATATTTGTGGCAGCAGAAATCGCTCCCCACACCTCGTTAGCAGACAAGGCCATCCTGCAAGTTTTGGTTAGAACAGGCATGTTCTTGGCTTGGGGAGGATTACTAACTATTTAAGGATCAACAACGTTAGCACTGCACTGCTGAGAATTTGATCGAAAAGAATGGATTATGTTGTGTTGTGTTTCTTCACCCCACATCATCGCTATATTTATACATACCCACAAAGTCAACCCTACGCGCTTGCTTCTCTTTGATCTCCGTCCGATACAACTATAATCATAATAATAATCATCATTATTAAACAAAGACTCCATTTATCGAATAATAATTCTCCATGACTGGAAATAAAAATACCACAACTATACACTGTGCTAGTCATTCTTTAATCATTAAATAATACTGGGTCGAATACCTAAATCGAAAAATTTATAAGCTCTATACTAGCTCTGGATTCGGCGGAGGGCTGGGCCATGGCCCGGGTTGGCCCAGCTCTAGATCCGCCGATGCAACAAACTCAAGTTTTCCTAAACACCTTCCTATTCTCATTGTATATTCGATCCGCAATTTTGTTTTAATTCCTATTAGGTAAGGCCAGTTAATTAAGTTCGCCATTCTTTAATTCCAACCATTGATCTGATAAACAAAGACTTCATTTCCTTTTTATGAATTAATCATATCATTCCTCATCAAAACCAACCAAAAGATAAGAAGACCGACTTCCTTTATGATTAAACAACGACAAATCTCCTCAATTATTCCATCATCGAATTAAATTATACAAAGACTCTTCTTAATTATAGTATATGCCCACTAATGTCCAATTAACTTTGAAAAGTACCTGTACGCTCAGTTGGGGTTGTATGAATGGAATTTCTGTATTGGTATTTGGGATATACCAAATCTCATATCGAATTTGACGATATTTTGTATCACCAAATACACATATTATTTTGTGGGATTGAGATTGAGATTGAATTTCAAGTATTATTTGGTATTAGCGATTACGGGATGCGGGTCGGTATATACCAAAATATCGATGAATGCCGAAATATAAATTAGTGTATTTTATCCCTACCAAAATATCAAGAATACCGAAATATAATCTAGTGTGTATTTTATCCCTACCAAAATATCGATGAATTTCAAGAATTATTTGGTATTATTCCTCGTGAACACGAAACAAAAGAATAGGGGTGGTAAACGGTTATCGGTTTTAACCAATACCAAAACGATAAAGGTGGTTGCAGGACCAAAATGTATCACTTCATACCACCACTGGCGGATCCAGGGGGTGGCCACCCTAGGCCCCGGCCCAGCCCTCCTCTGGATCCGTAGTTACTATAGTCCTTATGAAATTTTTGATTTTAGACATTCAATCCAGTGTTATTCTATGATTAGATTGGGTTTAACTAGAAAAATTATCAAGTTGAACATATTCAAATCAATATTCTAAATTTAGCCTAGAAATTTTAGCCCCAAAGATTATGCGTCTTAGAAAAACAATGAAACCTAAAATTCTAAAAAGTTAAAAACGTAAAAGACTAAAAGAAATATGAGGTTTGTTCCCTTACAAATTTACTAAAGCAGCTGGTGTGCAGGGATGGACACACAATGTAAATTGATTAGTCGATTGATTTATCTAATGCTGATGCTGCTCGTTTCAACAGCTACTACGAAGAGAACCTTTTTAACAATGAAACATGTGAGAACTGATTTGCTCAACAAAATGAGCGATGAATTTCTCGCCGATTGCTCAAGTATTTTATTTGAAAGAGTGTATACTATTGGTATGGATGTAGACTTCATTATTGATGCATTCCCTAAATTAAAATACAGTTGTGTACAATTTACATTGCAAAAACTATAATCATTATATTTTTTTACGGTTCTAATTTTCTAATGAAATGCGGCCCAGTGCTCTTCTGTGTTCTGGATCCGCCGCCGCATACCACCCTGATATATATGGGTGGCAACTTGTAGTAACCAATAATGAACTTGGTAAATAACCGTTCGTATATTTTTCTACTATTGAACCATCCAACAAACTCAAGTTTTAATGAAATAATCATGTATTCATCATGAAAACGAAAGGAAAGGAGACCGACTTCCAGTACTATTAAACAACGGAAAATCTCCTTAATTATTCAATCATTGAATTAAATTATACAAAGACTCTTCTTAGTTAATAGTATACGCCCACTACTGTCCAATTAATTTTCTAAAGTACTTGTACGCTCGGTTAGTGGTTGTATGACTGGAATTTTGGTATTGATATTTGGGATATACTGAATATCGTATAAAATTTGTTGATATTTTTTATTATCGAATACACATTATTTTGAGATTCAAATTCATGTGTTATTTAATATTAGAAATTATGAGATTGGGGTCGGTATATAACATAATATCGATGAATACTGGACTATAAACTGGTGTGTATGTTATCCCTCCCAACTAGACTCCCAAACTCACTGCTACATAATCTGATAACGATTCGTGAGGTTCGACCGATAACGATTCGTTTCGGGTTTGGGTAAGATGATACCCATAGTGAATTGGGAGTTTAATTTTACTTAATTTCTATTTATTAACTCTAATTAAGAGTTAATAGGTTTTAATATTGAAAAAAGAAGAAAAAGGAAATCCCAAAAAGAATCGGTTACACCCATTACCCCTCCCTCTCCCTCTCGGTTACACTCCCTAGAGAACTCCCAATTATGTCATTTTCCCCAAATAAATTCCGCCATGACTTGTCCATTCTCCCTCAAGATTATGTAGCTAATTAAATCTGGACCCTTCATTTAGAAAATTCAGATTTAACGATGGAGAATTAAATGTCATTTTTATTTTTCCTGACTTTTTTTATCGGCTCATATCTTCTTCGTTTTAACTAGGATTTTGATTTTTTTTTGTGCAGATGTAACGTGTTCGTTGTGCTCTACAAATTGAGATACATTTTCAATATTTTTTTAGAAAAACAATTTATTGCCTCTCGGTACCAACTGCATACCATATGGTTTCTTCTTAGTTTTTAATTCATTTTTAATTCGTTGTGCTCTACAAATTTCTGGGTGAATAAATTACAGGACCAAAATATACCACACAATACCATACAATACCACCCTAGTACGGGGTGGTATCTTGTGGTACACAATGTTAAAAGCCGTAAATGACAGTTAATATACTTCTACTATCATGTATTCAATCATCATACCACCATGGTATGCTTTTCAAACCATAGGTATGCTCTTATTTCAATACCGGTCAATCACATATAGTATAGACTGGTAAAAGTTAACAACACCGACCATGATTTACATGTGATATCTCCACCAAACTTAAAGGAACTGCATAGCAAGGACCCATTTGCAATGTCTCTTTGCCAGACCAAGGCCACATCGACATCGATCCCTCTTGGTGGACGCGATGGTGGTCAGTCGATACGGTTATATTTGGTTTGGGGCAATGAGACAAGAGAAGAAATGAGGAAGAGGTCTCGAGGGTGGAGACTTCAGTTGCATCAAGTGCACGAGCCTTCAGCACCTGCCACACCATGGTGGCGACAAAACTGCAAGTGCACAGTGTCGTACAAGTAATAAAGTGTAAGTAAAATTATCGTTCTCTAGGGGATTGGTGAAACTCAATAATTAACAAATTTAGTTCAAGAAACTATAGGAATTGCAAAGGGCTGTAATCAAGTGATGATTTGCAAAGATCGCACAAATTAAGTAACTCGATAAATCAATTATTTTGGAGAATTTGATATTGTAGAGTTCCGGGGGAAACACAAGATTTTACTATTTTACCTCAGTAAATTTAATTACCCTTGTCAATCGATTTAATCCATATTTCTACAATCGGGATACCTATACTTTGATAGCTATCTCTATCGAGAATTACCACGTACTAGCTAATTAAGACAATTTCTACTATCGTAGTTAACTGAATTAATTAATTAGCCTTAAGAACGATATGCCTGAAATGACTGCATAATTCCCTATTTAATCCACTATCGCTTCGATAGGCAATTATGTCGTGCGAAATGCGTTCGGTTACTAGGTTTTCACTATCGTCATTAACCTAGAAAACTACAAATCATTGTGAAGGTGGCCAATCAACACAAAGCGTTAAACAATTCTACACGATAGAAATTGGAAGAAAAACAAGTCATGATTAAAACATCGAGGCTAGATAATGAAATCCCTAAGTTTCCCCCAGAAATTGGGGGATTAGTTCATGATAAAAAGAAAGTACATAAACATGCTAATGTTCAACATGATGACTAACTACCAAAGACAAAGGAGTAGAGAAAGTACTAAGTGTTGGAGTTGGCACCGCCTTGGTTTCTTTGATTATTGATAAATTGAACTTCCTCCAATTGGGCAGCTCCTATGGGGCATTGTTCTCGATGATGAGCACCTGCACATAACTCACAAGAAATGGTTTGGTCAGCGGAAACGAGAGAGAGGTTGGCCACTCTTCGTTCAAGTGCATCGAATTTAGCATCCAACTTGGCTTCGATTCGTGCTTCCAAGCCGGTGAATTTGTCGACTTCATGCATACCGCCTCTCCTTCGTGAGCTCTTTTCTCCACCCCATTCATTAGCATCGGAGCACATGTTCTCTATGAGGTCATAGGCGGCTCCGGGCTCCATAGAAGTAAATCCTCCACCGGATGCCGTGTTCAAAGCTTGCCTGAACTCTCTTCTAATCCCATCAAAGAAGATGGTGATCACATTCCACTCCTCGAGGCCGTGGCTTGGGCACTTCAGCAAAAGCTCTTTGTATCGCTCCCAAGCTTCACTTAGGCTTTCATCCTCAGCTTGTACAAAGTCTACAATCTCCTTTTGGGCTTTCATGGCTTTAGCGGGTGGAAAATATTTGTCAAGAAATGCCTTCTCTAGCTGCGCCCACGTGGTGATAGATCGAGGCACTAGGTTTTGGAACCAATGAGCCGCTCGACCTATTAATGAGAATGAAAACATACGCAGTCGGATTGCATCATCGGACACGCCAGGATTCTTCATGGTATCACAAATGCTACAAAATCTCCTCAAATGGTCATGAGGATCTTCTGTACTTGCTCCAGAGAATGTGTAGCCATTTGTGATCATGTTGATGAAGGATGGAATGACAACCCCTGAAGCTCGGGCTCCAGTTCTTCGATTAAGATTGCCTCG